ACTACCCCCCTAGTGAGGTAGTGATGCCCCTAAGACGTGACCAGCCAGAAGTTTAAACCCAACGAGTTTGTCGTTGGTAAACACTCTTCTGGTAGCTTGCTTCGTTTTGCAGCGTCTGGTCGTCTTTCCTTGAACTATGGGACCAAAATGTACATCATAGCAATAAAGAAATATAGTACAATGAAAATTTCGGTTCCTTGCGAAACTTCGTCGTTCTTTTCCAGCCGTTCTGGAAAAGAGGAAAAATAAAACGTGTGAGTGCATGTCGAAAATACACTCGTACTTGCGGAAGGACACAAGATGAGCGGAAAAAATAAACTAATACACTTACAAACAGCGTAAAAGCGATCGGAAAAAAATGTTTTTTTGTTTTTTTATATATAAAATATATATATATATATACGCTCAAAAAAAATATTTTTTTTTTATATAAATAAAAAAGTGAGCATATTAAAAAATTTTTTTATAATAAACTATGAAATGGTAATTTAAGATAAAGCTTATGTCCTACGTGCAATATTCGTTAAGATGTTCTGGAAATCTTACTCGTCTTGTTTTAGGTTTTTCTATCGACGTTGACGAAGTATCAGGTTGTGTGTCGGTTGTCGTGTACGATTGTACGATTGTACCGAAGGAAATTCGACGTAGCTAGTATTTCCTTCTAGGTACGCAGCTTTGAGTCGATCGATACTGATGCTATCGTTCGTATCGTTCTTATCAACTACATAGTACTTAGGTACGCGTTGAAGAACTTTGAAGGGTCCTTCGTATGCTGATTCGAGGGGTCGTCGATGTGAGTCTAGACGAACGAAGACGTGTGTACTATGTCGCAAGTCGGGTTGAACGAAAACATCAGTTGATTGAGGTCGAGTGTGAGCAGGTTTAACTGAACGCATAGCGTTTGTAAGCCTACTCGTGTAAGAGTTTAGATCCATGTTCAATGAAGAAGCTGAAGGATCCATGAATTCTCCTGGGAGTCGGAGTGTCGTTCCGTAAACGAGTTGAGATGCCGTGTATCCAATGTCAGCTTCCACTGCATTGCGAATACCTAGTAAGACGAGTGGAAGAGCGTCTGTCCACTGTAAAACGTTTGAAGCTGATAATGAAGCTTTTAATTGTCGATGAAAACGTTCTACCAACCCGTTTGCTTGTGGGTGGTGGGCGGTCGTTCGGAAGCGCGTGATTCCTAATAGTGAGGTCAGACAACGGAAAAGTCCAGATTCGAACTGGTGTCCGCGGTCTGTAGTGATAGTTGAAGGGCAGCTGAAGTTTGCTATCCATCATTCGAGCCACTGTTTCAGCAGTAATGTCCTTGATGGGTAATGTTTTTGGCCATCGTGTGGAACGGTATACACAAGTTAAGAGACAAGACTATCCAATTGAAAGGTCCAACCAAATCCAGATTAACTTGACCATTACGAGCATCAGGATATGTGAAAGAGCCTTAGGGTTATTTGTTGTGTCTAACCACCTTAGATTTCTGACAGATTTTACAGTAGCGTGCCCACCCTCTCACGTCATTATTTATATCAGGCCAGCAAAACCTTTCTGCTATAAGCTTGATGGATGCACGCACTTCTGGTTGAGAAAGTTTGTGCAACGTATTGAAGACGATGCGTCGATAATGTTTCGGCACAATTGGACGATCCCAACCTGTAGATGTGTCACACAGTAGGGTTTCCTTACCTGTTTCCATCTATTTAATGTGTAGTCTAAAGGGTTGTTGAGGATAATTCGTGCTGAAGATCAGTGTCTTCTTTTTGGAGACGGGCAAGCTTAAGTAGGTCGATTTTTTGGAAACTGTTCAAGGGAGTTATACGAGACATGGCGTCTGCAGCTGCATTGTTTGCTCCAGAAATGTGTTGCATGTCTGAAGTAAACTGCGAAATGCAGTCTAGTTGTCGAGACTCACGAGGTGAGTACGTGTCTGAAAGTAAGGTTCATGATCAGTAAAAAGGGTGTGTTGAAAATGCCATGCAGCACAATACATAGCTAAGAGTTCCCTAGCAAAAGCGGTATATCTCGATTCAGTGTCTAGTTTAGCTGTAAATAAATCCCAAAACAAATAGCTCTGTAAGTCTTCGATATTGGATAGTGACCACATTAGTTTAAATGAACCCACCTTGATAAATGCGCTTGGTCATGCATCTGCACCAGAACACGGTTTGGAACGGCGTGCGCAACGTCTCCTGTGATCGCTAGCCAGATTAGATCAGTCACTCCTCGATATATTGATAACCCATCAAATATATCTTCCAACCACCTTGCTTCTGACTTTTGATTTCACTGGGTGGGCACGACTCAATTATAGAAAGTGTTGCTGTTTAAAGTGTTTTCAAAATACAATACCTGTGTTATCTTCAATGTTAAGCCCGACGTGAACTGGTACACCAACCTATAAACTGTTAGTCTGTTCGTTTTTAGAATTTCAAAAGTCGTCTCTTTAGTTTAACTTTTATATATTGTCGGTTCTGGGTAATCCAGAATGGCCGCCCATTTTGATTCCTAAAGGTCGGATGCCTTGAGCATCAATATTATGTCCTAGGAACTTTAAGGAGTCGGTTCCGATTTAGCATTACTAAATGTTTACAGTAATGCTATGCTTTTGCAGTAGTTCGAACACAATGTCCAGATGCTAGAGATGGGGTTATCTGTCCGGACTTGCTATGAGACAAATTTCAAACAGATTAGTGAAACCGGTCGTTAGAATTTGCAGAAAGAACGCTAACTTCTGCGCCAGTATGGACGAGGTAGCAAACTGCTTAGTAGAACCAGGCTTCGATATTTTCTGGTCGGAAGGGCATTAACTGAAACGAGAGTAGTGTAAGGATCTTGACCTTAAGTAGTTTAGGAGTCTGTTCTGCCATGGCAAATTTGAAGTATGGGGATGAATGAGGGAAAAATATTCAGAAATACAAAAATCACAGGAGACGTTGCGCACGCCGTTCCAAACCGTGTTCTGGTGCGAATGCATGACCAAGCGCCTTTATCAAGGTGGGTTCATTTAAACTAATGTGGTCACTATCCAATATCGAAGACTTACAGAGCTATTTATTGTAGAGATTTATTTACCTTCAGTTTCATGCTTCTTCTGAATATGGATTCATGAAAATGGAAGCAGTGTGTGAGAGGTTTATTCTAATTAGCGTTTTTAGCAAGATTTTTTTCGCGGGACGTGGTTGCTTAGGTCTTTTTCAACCCTTCTTCTTTATTCGGGTTTCGGACTGTTAGTATCCCATGATGATGCGTTTTACTCTTTGAAGATAAAAAAATCCTCCTTCATAATGAAGAAAACGCAATCAAATATTTTTGATCTTATAGAGTGGTTATGCGAAATATATGTTTACAAATATTATGAAGTTTTTATATGTTTGAATGCAGCACCGCCACCACTAAAATTACTGGCGTTATAATTAATTTTTTCCAACTGACCTTGACGTTTGCTTTTAAGTATTCAGGTTGCCCGAAGGTATTTAAAGGCTTGCGCAGAATTGTGCAACAGCCGTGAGAGTGAAAAGGGTTAAGCCTTTGTTTTAATACTGGTAAGCAAGATTTGTTGCGATTTTCTTGAGCTCTGTCTGAAGTTGAAACCTGTAATGTTTGAATGTCAAATACAGCAACCATACATTAAGCTCATCTTGCATCAGACGAAAATAACTAGTGGTTAATCATTGTGTGTTCGGAGTAAAATTGGCAACTTCTGACGACTTCAGATAATTATTCTTTTGGTTATTCACATTTTTATTACATGTTTATCATTGATCGGTTTAAATTATTGTACATTAGTATGTCTGTTAGATCTGTGCATGTTGTTGTTTTTCTGGTTATATTACTTATTAAGAGGGAATCAAACGGAATACAGGTCGAGATTGTTGTTATCTAAAACTGTATGTCAATATAGTCAGCTCTAGGCATTCCTCAGCACTAAATAAATGTATGGGTGCATATTTTTATTGTTACGAGATTTCTTTAAGTTCTTGTTAATTAACTCTACATGGTGACAAAATTATTGTCTTTCACAATTACCCATTCATTTTTCAAACCTTATCAAAAATATGTTATCAATTTGTTGCGCTCTAACTACCGGTGACAGCTAAGACCTGCATGATTAATGCGGTCAGTCCGAGTTCAGAAGTGTGCTGAAAAGCACAGGATTTGGTTAATACTGGTTGGTTGGAGACTACTTAACATTGCTTAAAGTCGTCCCATGCATTTACCCTATCTTATTGATCTTGGATCTCAGTATCTTGTCACACATACGTTTCTAATGTCTTTTAAACCATAATCTCAAGACTAATTCTTAGTTTTTATTGTTGTTACCAAATTTCTCGCTCTCTTTATTTTTTTATCTCACGTTAATGTGATATGATAACCTGAGCTAACTAACATTTGTTCCAGTTTCTACTCCCAATATGACTGACTGTCCCCAAATGCCCTGGTACGGCCGAGAGTGGGGAGAGTCTACTCTCTCTCTCGAAATGCTCTCACATGGCCAGCGAATATATAGCCTCTGCCAGGGAAGTCCTACTCACTGCCTTCTCGTGGCGGGGGTGTTGTTTACGAAAGTGAGAGGACGAAAAGCGAATGTTCGGCGCTATAACCGGATTGGTGGACACGGAGGGTCCACCTAGGGGAGTTGGAAAACCCTGATTCCAAACCAATGGTGCACATGGGCTCCAGTATCCTGATGGAACGAATGGCGGAAGAACCTGCTGTTGGTCAACGGCAACCATGGGACTGCATCTCCTCACGATGCTCCACTGCCTTGTGGATCAGACCTTTAGGTCAAAGGCTCGGGGTGTGGTCCCCTAAGAAAACCACCTGCTTCGGTTTGGGCACCCAGGCAGTATCACAGCCCACATACAAACAAATGAATGAAATTATGAACTTTATTGACGATATCCCTGGTCATACTAAAAGCAAAACAATTAACATTATTATTATTATTACCTTTATTATTATTATTATTATTATTATTATTATTATTATTATTATTATTATTATTATTATTATTATTATTATTACTTACCATATCGCTAATTCACCCCCTTTTATCCCCAATTTGTGTAACCTTACTCTTCAACTTATGCAGCAGCTCGCTCTTGGTGGAAAATCTGTCCTATCTAAACGATCTCCAGTCACTGTCTGGTTGAAAGTGAATGCTTCCACCGATTATGAATACTGAGGCAGTCTTTCTGAAACCACGTACGCCGTTCAAGCTGGCTTCCTTCAACGTTCGCACACTAATGCAGATCAGACAACAGATAGGGCTGGCTATGTCTTTGGAAGGTCTTAATGTTGACGTTTGTTGTCTATCCGAGACCCGTATTCAAGACTCTAGTGAAGTACTACAAATCCGCTCTCCATCTGTCGCCTCGAAAAGCTTGTTCCACGTGCGCTTATCCGGGGACCCTGTGGCATCTTCGTCTGGTCTTGCTGGCGTTGGTGTCGCACTAAGCGCTAGAGCTGAGGCAGCACTAATCGATTGGATCCCCATTAACAGTCGGTTATGTGCTGTTAGATTAGAAAGTTCCATCAAAGTGAGAAGAAATCGGTGTGAGAAACGGTGTCTTTTCGTCATCTCCGCCTATGCCCCGACAGATTGCAGCCCGGATGCAATCAAGGATGAGTTTTACCATCAGTTAACAGTTCTTCTCCAGAAAGCGCGTTCGAAAGATATTGTAGTACTAGCCGGAGACTTGAATGCACAGGTCGGGCGTCTAGGCACAGAAGAGAGTCGTCTAGGTGGCCGATGGGGACTTGTTGGTCGCAGGACAGATAACGGGGACCGTTTGCTGCAACTGTGCACAGACCACAACCTGTTTCTGGCCAGCACTAACTTCCGGCACAGTCATCGCCGGTGTGCCACCTGGCGTCCTCCCTCTGCATCCCAAGCCTGGACTCAGATTGATCACATCGCGATCAGCTACCGCTGGCGTGGTTGTGTACAAGACTGCCGCTCCTTTTGGAGTACCTATCTGGAGTCTGATCATGCCCTGGTCTGCGCCAATCTCACCTTACTTTTCAGTGGCCGAAGGATTGACCACCACCAACGAATTGATATTAGTAAACTGGCTGCAACTTCTGTTGCAAGTAAGTATCGAGCGGAGCTAGCCTCTAGGCTAGCTACCACCCCACCGAAAAGTATAGACGAGCATTGGTTGCATCTTCATGACGCCATGAAAATGGCGAGTAAAGCCGCTTGCGGCTTCGCGAAACGTCCCGCTTACAAGCACTGGGTTTCTTTTGGCTCCTTACAACTGATGGAAGCCCGTCGGTCTACTCCGGGTGACCGTGAGTTTGACCACAAACGAAGGCTGTTACGTAATGAAATCGGGCAAAGCTTGTGTAAGGACCGGGAAGCCTGGTGGTCGGAGCGTGCTAATGAGATGGAAGCAGCAGCTGCATCTGGTAACTGCCGGAAGCTCTTCCAACTCATCCGAGCCACTGGCAGCAAGAAGTCTGGTGTGAGTGAAACAATCTACGAGGATGATGGGATGCCAATCACTAATATCTCTCGACGTCTTGGACGATGGGCGGAATTTTTCGAAGGGCAGTTCAACTGGCCTGCTGCTCCGGCAACATCAACCAGCTTGTCCTGCTCCCCATGGCCGGTGACGACTGATCCACCAAACGAGGCGGAAGTCCGCAAGGAACTCCAACTCTTGAAACGTTATAAATCACCTGGCCCAGATGACTTACCTCCGGCTCTTTTTAAAGATGGTGGTGACTTTCTGGCTAAGGAACTGACGGTGTTGTTTGCAAAGGTTTGTGAACAAGAAAGTGCTCCAACATCATGGAATAAGTCAATAGTCGTCCCTATCTTTAAATAGGGTTCACGTCGTTCCTGTAACAACTATCGGGGGATAAATCTAGCTCCGATTGCGTCCAAACTGTTGGCTTCTCTCATACTTTGTAGATTGTTTAAAACCCGAGAACGATTGACTCGCGAGGAGCAGGCTGGTTTTCGTTCTGGTCGAGGATGCATTGATCACATCTTCACCCTCCGCCAAATGTTCAAACACCGTCATACTTATCACAGGCCAACAATCGTAGTGTTTCTTGATATCAGGGCTGCCTTCGATTCGTTGGACAGGACTGTTCTCTGGGATTGTCTATTGAAGAAGGGTGTGCCTGAGAAGTTCATTAACATCTTAAAAGCCCTGTATACGAACACCTCAGGCAGAGTGAGGGCATACAACCACCTTTCTCCCTTGTTCCATTCGAGCAGTGGGGTTAGGCAGGGTTGCCCGATCTCCCCATTCCTCTTCAACTTTGCCATCGACGACATCCTAGAAACAGCTCTGATGGATGTAAGTAATGGCGGTGTGGATATGTTGCCTGGAGAACGACTTCTCGACCTCGAGTATGCGGATGATATTGTCTTACTGTGCGATAATGCCCAAGGCATGCAATCAGCACTTAATCAGTTGGCAATCAGTGTCCGCAGGTACGGCATGTGCTTTGCACCCTCCAAGTGCAAAGTACTTCTACAAGACTGGCAGGATTCTCATCCTGTACTCACCCTGGATGGTGAGGAGATCGAAGTAGTTGAGAAGTTCGTGTATCTAGGTAGCTATATAAGTGCTGGTGGTGGCGTGAGTGATGAGATTGATGCACGTATAATGAAAGCCAGAGCGGCTTATGCCAATCTGGGCCATCTTTGGCGCCTTCGTGATGTTAGTCTGGCTGTAAAAGGTCGGATCTACAACGCGTCGGTGAGAGCAGTTTTGCTCTATGCTTGTGAAACCTGGCCTCTCCGAGTTGAGGATGTTAGACGTCTCTCTGTGTTCGATCATCGTTGTCTCCGAAGGATTGCTGACATCCAGTGGCAACACCATGTTAGTAATGCAGAGGTTCGGCATCGTGTGTTCGGGCGCAGAGACGATAATTCAATTGGTGTCACCATCTTGAAACACCGACTTCGGTGGCTCGGACATGTTTTACGAATGTCGTCCCAGAGACTTCCGCGTCGTGCATTATTTGCCGACCCTGGGACTGGTTGGAGAAAGCGGAGAGGAGGTCAGTGTATGACATGGTGTCGTGGCATGAAAGAGAGCTGCAAAGGGCTAGCTTCCGTTGGTCCTTCACGACTCCCTGGTTGGGGTCCGAGAGATAGTGCAACACAGTGGCTAGAGACGTTATCGGATATGGCTCAGAATAGAAGCCAGTGGCGATCCTGCTGCAACCTTCTTTTACTTTCTACATAAAGAATGGTTCTAACTTTCCTAACTGAAAGAATCTTCTGGTTGTACATTTCAGCCCGCCTTATCTTTTCATCCTTTATCTACCTACTTTCATTATTTTGTGTGGCGCATATGTACCTGGTGCCCTTTTGTACCAATATATATGTGTTTAAATAAATAATAATAATAAATAACAACTTGACAGTTCATTAGTAAACTTCTGCCCTTAGTAGAGATTGGGATTTTGTAATTTTTAGTGTATATTAGTTTCAGATTGAGTAAAAATTGGTGTTGATGGGTGCAAATTTTTTCACTTAATTTTTCATTTCACTGAGGTTCTTGATTTTTTATGCAATTTAAGATATTTCCATTTCTTTTTCTAGATTCTTTTTTGAAGCTATTTGCAGCATTTTTTAATTCTGTTTGGGTACCGTTCCCGATTTGGATTTTAGCCGTTGTTATTCATACATTTCTGGTCATAAAATGAGTGATGACGATCAAATTGTACGACAGAGAACAGTAAGTTGCATCTAGATAAGAATATTAGCGGTTTATTTATCACTTCGTAAACATATAAATGTACTGTACAATGTATTTTCGCCCATATTTATTTTTATTTTATTTTATTTAAACACATACATATTGGTACAAAAAGGCACCAGATAAATATGCGCCTCACAAATCTCATTTGATTTGTGTGAGGGCTGTGATACTGCTCAGGTGCCCAAACTGAAGCAGGTAGTTTTCTTAGGGGGTCACACTCGGAGCCGTTGACCTGAAGGCCTGGTTCACAAGGCAGTGTAGCATTGTGAGGAGATGCAGTCCCATGGTAGCCGTTGACCAACAATTGGTTCATACGCTATTTGTTCCATCAGGATACTGGAGCCCATGTACACCATTGGTTTGGAATGAGGGTTTTCCAACTCCCCTAGGTGAACTTTCCGTGTCCACCAACCCGGTTAAAGCGCCGGACATTCGCTTTTCGTCCTCTCACTTTTGTAAACAACACCGGTACCACGAGAAGGCAGTGAGTAGAACTTCCCTGTCAGAGGCTGTGTACGCGTGGCCATGTGAGAGCATTCGGAGAGGGAGAGCGGACTCTCCCCATTCTCGGCCGTGCTAGGGCCCATAAACTTTACTGGATGTTATTATTATCTGTGTTGCTATTATCTGAGTTGCTGCTTTTAGTCTTACCGCTCTTCAACCGTCCTGTCTGGCATGGTAGGACCTCGAGGAACGATTGTTCCAGCCAGCATAGCTCGATTGCTTCACCACGATAGGGAAGCCCGACCACCACGTCAAGGTAGCAGCAACGGTCGGTTCATAAAGTCACTGACTGTTGGTCTGAACCTTGTCGATAGATACAAACTAATTGGTTGGGTTCCATGTGATAATCGTAATCATTGGTTAAAGGAGTTGATTGACATAGCTTGGAATCAGTCACAGTAGTTCACTCACTCATTTTTCTTCAAATCTTGAGTTTCAGTATTTCCTTAACAGTATAGTTTGTTACTAAAAGTAGTACTACGAGGCCGTGATTTACTCATTTCTCCCGTTTCTCTGTTTTTTTCTCTCATTCTTTATCAGGGGGACGTTGTAGAACCAACTAGTATTACGGCTTCTTCGACTACTTCTAATACTATTAATATCGATACACAAGATGATGTATTAAACACTAAGAAACAAACAAGTGATGATGATGACGATGATGAACAAATTGATCCAATTAGACCTGATTTTGAAGCTGCTGAAAAGTTACATCAAGGCACAAGTCATGTACCACCAATAATTGGTTTCTTAAATAAACTTCTTCCACCACGTTGGGTTAATTGGACTGTACGATTATTTACAGGCCTACTATTAATTTCCGGATTTACACTTCTTATTTATTTGGGTCCATTGGCATTAGTACTTATGGTAAGTATTGTATATAACGAGTTATTTGTTTATTTTTCTGTTACCATTAGACTATTGATCAGAATTTGTCAACTTCCTAGCACTAAAAACTAATTACTTATCATTGATTTTATCTTAATTAAATCCATGAGGAAACTACCATTGCAACAAAGGATGGATCTTTTTTTATCCAAGTAGGTAAATTCCAAAGAATATATATATAATCAGAAGGGGTTTTGTGGAGATTTTAGTAATTTTTAGAGTTGAGATCATGAGTCAATTGAAGCTAGACCACCATGGAAAACCTGGAAGCACTGGACGGCCGTTTCGTCCTATTATGGGACTCCTCAGGACGAAACGGCCGTCCAGTGCTTCCAGGTTTTCGATGGTGGTCTAGCTTCAATTGACTCATGATCTCAACTCTAAAATATATATATAACTCAAGTACATGAGCATGAATGTTAATGGTTCTATGTGGTTGCCCAAAGTCAAGTAGATAGAGTGGGGTTTGAACCTGAAACTTAGTGACTGAAAGTCGAACGCCTTAACCACTAAATCAACATCAAATTATTGAAATAATGCTGGTGACAGCTAAGCCAAAATGTTATACCAGTCCATGAATTCACTGGCTAATGAACTGTGCTATATTAATAGGTGTGTAGACTATCTGGTTAGGGTCTACGTTGATTATCGCAACAGATGATTAGAGACTTTAAATGACACGTCTCAACATCTTTCTCAATAGTTCAAATGTAGATACTTTTTGTATTCCCTTAGAACCTCGGTCGCGAAATCTCTCTATATATTTTCCTTCTTTTTATACGTAGTCTTTTCTACCAGTGCTGATACTGTTACTACTCCTACCATTCTGGGATTTACCTTAAAACAATTTTACGTCACTGTGCTAATGTGATATGGGAACTTGAGCCGGTGCACATGTGTCAGGTTGCGTTTAACTCACTGACTACTCAACTCTCTTTTCTCGTTGACCGATTTCAAATGTATATATTTGGCTTTAAGTCACATTGTCTGTCTGTGTAAGAACTAGTGATCAAGCCGAAATAGTTGAATCATAGCTTGAGTCGCCAACCTATTGGTTACCAAGTGTTTCAACTGTTAACTTATCAGTGTTTAAAGAATTAACTAATTCAAATTTAGTTTTGGTTGTGTCTTGTTCTTGAATTCTTAAATATCATTCCCATTTAAACATTAAAATTAAAACACAGATTTCAGCGAAGGGATCTCTTTTCAACGAATTTATTATCAAGCTGTACCATGGCCTTAATATTATTATTATCATTCTTTTATTATTATTATTACTCCATTCCCCCTTTACTTATGTTTTATATTCTCATTATTTTATTCATGAATACTCATCACCTTATTTATTTATTTATTTATTTTACACCTCTATGACCTTTAATGACCTTTAATTATTGTAACCAAAACATTTTATCCGTCTTACTATATTCACTAAATCTATTGTTGTTATTCATATTACGTAATCCAGTATTATAATCTTGGTTATTAGTGTTCACATTTCCTCACGGAATTAGTACTTTAACAAAACATTTTCATATATATATATATATACGATTGTACAGCTTGATAATAAATTCGTTGAAAAGAGATCCCTTCGCTGAAATCTGTGTTTTAATTTTAATCTTAAATATCAGCTTTCTAACTGCCTCCCGGTTCAAAAAAGTCTTTCAATCTTGAGGCCAGAGAAAAGCATTAGACGGAAAGTAAAGTAGAAGATTCACTTTAAAAGCACATATGTGGAATCATGTGTAACTCTGAGATCGTAGAAGTTTTTAGAAAACGTGCTAAAATCAGTAATTAATTTGATAATTGCTTAATCAGAGTAAACAGAGTATAATCAATCATTTTCCTGGCTTATGAACACTTTTCCCACTCATTATTATGATCTCCCTAATAATTTCTCGTGGAACACTGCTGTACCCCCAAATGCCCTGGTACGGCCGAGAGTGAGGTGAGTCCGCTCTCCCTCTCCAAATGCTCTCACATGACCATGCGCATACAGCCTCTGACAGGGAAGTCATACTCACTGCCTTCTCGTGGTACCGGTGTTGTTTACGAAATTGAGAGGACGAATAGCGAATGTTCGGCGCTTTAACTGGGTTTGTGGACACACCTAGGGGAGTTGGAAGACGCTGATTCCAAACCAATGGTGCATATGGGCTGGCTCCAGTATCCTGAGGGAACAAATGGCGTATGAATCAATCATTGGTCAACAGCTACAATGGGACTGCATCTTCTCACGATGCTCCACTACCTTGTGGATCAGATCTTTAGGTCAAAGGCTCGAGGTGTCAATATGATGAAGAGTATCCAACCATGACTAGGAGAGAAGGAAGCTGTTGTATTCTGATATCGAAATGTAGTTAAGAGTTATGGCGGTTATCAGAAACCTGTTTAAAACAAAACAAAAATAGTTATATGGTCGAATACTAGAATACATTTGCTTTTTAAGTAATTGTAAACTAAACTAAAAGTCTAGTATAAAGATAAGCCAATCAGAATCGAGGACATGACTCTTAGGTTTTCTTGTGTGTGCGAAATTTCAAGTAGAAATACCTCTGTATACTGATCAAAACGTTTAAGATTATTTCTTGCCATCATATAGTAAAAAATAACAGTGTTAAGCTCTTTAGATTTCTAATTTTTCATCGGTAGATTATAAATAACAGACAAATCAACACCATCCATAAGTCGTTAAGCCTGCGATAAACCTTAACTTAATGGCGTTATATTTCATAGACAAGATAGTTACGTAAAATCTCTTTAATGTTTGCTTGAAATCCATATAGGTACAGAAAATTTTGATTGGAGATAAACTCCACTCTTGTTCTTAATGTTGACCTTGCACCTAGCAACTACTTTTTCATTTACTTCGTTCAAGCCATAAGTGTCAAAAATAAAAGAAACCCCATAGCTTCTACTACTCATGGTATTCACCAAGGATTTATTTATAAAAAGCCATGAAAAATGTAGTTTTCTACGACAAAAATACCATTTCATCATTCTACAGACATGTCAAGTGTAAGTACAGTCAGTCATAATGGTAGAAAAATTACAATCCAGCAAAAGTCACACCTTCAAAATATCTACCATTAAATGATTAAATAAACGAAAACATGACTGTAATTACTATGATACACTTAAATGACCTGACAAAATGTATCGTCAATCAGAATTTTTTAATATTGTAGCTAATGCCAGTTTGTGATTAAAACTCCAAACCTAACTACGAACAAAACGAGAACTCCCAAAACTCTATTTAGGTCAGGTTAAAATTTCAAGAGGAGGGATAATCTAATGTTATGAGAACAACTTTATACGTCGTCGGTTTTGTTTTTAAAAAAAAATTACAGACTGTCATGACTTTTAGCCGCTCACAAATATCACATGACAAAACCACCAATCAGAATATCATTTTCTATAACCTCGTCTCTGATCTAACCAATGACATGACAACTAGTATTAGTAGCTTTTATTCACGGCTAAGTCTTCAATGGTCCTTGATTCCGTGGCTTTCTCTCCTTTCACTGATCGTTGAGTTCAGGTAACAGTAATTAGCTTCCACTAGTCGAATATTTAATTTCACTCATACGTAGTTTATACACAAACAGACTTGACTACATCATATTATAAAGTGAAAAATAAGAATTATATATGAAGACAAAAATTAGTTGTAAGGGAGACTGTGAATAATAAATTGGCTAGTGATAATGAACAGCAGACCATAGAATAGTAGGTAATGGGTTAATCGAAAACTCACTATAAAAGGAATATAAATATATCATAGTCTGGTTACGTAATAATTACACAATAATATATAATAATAATTCATAAATTAGTTCCGACAGTTTTATTTATTTATTTAAACACATGAATATTGGTACAAAGGGGCACCAGATAAATATGCGCCATACAAATCTTATTTGATTTGTGTGAGATCTGTGATACTGTCCAGGTGTCCAAACCGAAGCAGGTGGTTTTCTTAAGGGGCCATACCCGGAGCCTTTGATCTAAAGGTTTGATCCACAAGGTTGTGGAGCATCGTGAGGAGATGCAGTCCCATGGTAGCCGGTGATCAACGATTGATTTACACGCCATTTGTTTCTTCAGGATACTGGAGCCAGCCCATGCACACCATTGGTTCGGAATGAGGGTTTTCCAACTCCCCTAGGTGAACTTTCCGTGTCCACCAACCCGGTTGAAGCGCCGGACATTCGCTTTTTGTCCTCTCAATCTCGTAAACAACAGTAATACCACGAGAAGGCAGTGAGTAGAACAATCCTGACAGGCTACATACGCATAGGCATGTGAGAGCATTTGGAGAAGGAGAGGGTTTTTCCCCACTCTCGGCTGTACCAGGGCATTTGGAGGCAAAGTGTAATCAAGCCTGCCAGGATCAACAGTTACTATTCATTTAGTTTTTGTTGCATATAACACAGATATTAATAACCAGTAAATAACTTTAATCAACATAAATTTTGTTGATACTTCTATTAAATGACTATTTATCATAACCTAAACTGTACACTTATAGTTGTTCCCCTTTTTGTTTTTTGGTAACTGTATTGATTTCTAAGCTTCATTTTCTAATTGGTTAAGAATTAATTAAAAATTCGTATAAATTGTGCTTTTAAAACTCATCCTTTGATTATACCCTTGTCTAAACTAGAATTTATTCTTGTACTACTACTAGTACGACTACTACTACCACCACTACCACTACTACTACTACTACCACCACCACTACTACTACTACTACTCATAATGATAATAATAATAATAATAATAATAATAATAATAATCAGAAGGGCATTTGTGGAGATTTCAGTATTTTTCAAAGTTGAAATCATGAGTCAATTGAAGCTAGACCACCATCGAAAACCTGGAAGCACTGGACGGCCTGGAGTTCTAGTGGGATGCAGTGACCAGTGGAGTTCAACCACGTATGTTGTGAGATATCAACTCACTGAAGACAATTG